AAAAAAAAAAAAAAAAAAAATTAAATAGCATTTGGCATTACTATCTTTTTAGTAATTAAAAATAAAAATTGATACTGAAGATTTTGAAATAACTCTTAAAGACAAAATTAAGCAAATTTGGCTAAACTAAGTTTAATTCAAACCAAAATTCAAATAAGTACTATATTATATATTAAATATCATGATCCTATTCGATATTTGAAATCATTAACTTATTGCTAAAATTCTGAAAAAAACTATTATCAAAACACAAACTATCTATTGTTGAAATTACTACCTACTCATTATCAAAACTATAAACATATCCGCTATTGAAATCAAAAACTCATCTATCACTAAAACTATGAATATACAGTATATATTACATACTATTTAAATTATGAGTTTATACTATTGAAATCATCAACACATCTACTATTAAAATCATGAACTAGCTACTATAAATTGCAAACTACAATTCTAAAATTATAAATAGTATGCAAAATTAAATTTTGATTTGATTTTGCTGAGTACTAACTGGTCTTATCAGAAACCAGAGCAGATTGAACTATAAAGATCCTAATAGTCCTGCAAGTCTAGTTCCAGTTTATTTTAATAGTTTAAAATTTTAAAGAATTAAATAGCTCGGGCTAGTTTTAGCTAGTCTGGTCTTAAAACTAAAAGCAGTTCAAACTGGGTTTAAAGCTAACTGTAGTTTATTAGTTTAGAACAGACTACAGTAGAACATCTCTGTTGAACCGAGTTTATTCATCTCTAGATGGGTTTATAGAACTAAGTTTGGATACCTGCTAATAAATAATGCTATGTACTCAAATCAATTGTCTATAGTAGTAAAGCATAATGATAACCTATATATTTTAAATTTTAGAAATAATCAGAGATGTATAGTACAAGCTTGATCTAAATTATTTACTGAAAAAGTTAGCATTAGTATTAGTATAAATATTAATATAAAACTCAATAGCAATAGAATCTTGTATATACAGTATATACATATGTATGTAATATAAGTGTAATTTTCTCAACAACTTTTAAGTCCATTTAGAGTAATACATATGTATATACGTACCAAATCAATACAAATTAATAACTTGTAGATTTTTACACATGACAAGATCATGCTGTCCAATAAGATCTATGATTTTGTATACAGATAGTTGCCAATTAACTATATACTTCGTACTTCATACTATGTTTCTGATACAAGCAAGAGTCAAATAATCATAATATGGATAAAATATTATATATAACCAAAGATGAATACAAGGAACCTTAACACCAGATCTGAACAGAAGAATCTACTGGATATTATTTTCATTGCTTTAATAAAAAATTTGCTTCTGGTCTATAATTGCAATACTTTTTATTATAGTTTAATTAATTTTTGATTTTTATTTAAATATAATTTGCACTGAAGTTTTTTTTTCAATCAATTCATAACGATTTGCTGACTTTATTTTTTTATAATAGTATCATGATATATAAATTTATTTTAAACAAAAAGTTACTTTTTCTAGCTATAAATTATTTTTTAAAATTCTAATTTAACGTAAATATAAAATTGTTTTCTTGCTTCTAACAAAAAAAAATATTATCCTAAGCTAATTTTTTGTTTTTTTAGGAAACACCTATTTTTATTATTGAAATCTGCTATTTTTACTATGCTTTTCATATAACTTTCAGTTACATAAACATGATAAACATATTGTTATGAAAATTTATATCAAATAGTGGAAATAATAAATTTTTATAGTGAAAATAAGCGTTTTCTTTTTTATTTATTTATTTTTTTATATTTTATATTTTTTTTTATTTATTTATTTTTAGATTTTTATTTTATTTTATATTGTTTTAATTTAATTTTGGTACTAAAGAAGAATCTTTATAGCTAGATCTTATTTTTTAAAATGCTAGTTTATTTGTTTTAAATTTTACTATTTTTACTTGTATCCAATTTAGAATCACTAATTTTACTATATTTTTTATCTTCAAACATGTCAGTTTCAGTTATATTATAATTAATTTCATCTTCTTGAATAGAATTTGAAGCAAAAAATGATTCAAGATTGGTTTGGCATAGTAAGGTTGTTTGAAGACTTCTTACTTTTTTAGTAACTTTTAAAATTGTACTGATATATTTTGTTATAGCATTATGCTATTGTAGAAAATATTGATTAACTATTTCTAATATATTTAATGCTTCTTAGTATGTATATTAGCATATTTTAATACTATTATCAGGTTCCTCAGTATTAATAAAATTATCTGAATGCCTTGTAAAATTTACTATCTCTTGATTATCAAGCATTTCATCTAGTATATTTTTTTTAGAATAATTAATAAAAGTATTAATATCTATTTTATTTTGATAATGAAGAGCCTCAATATCTGCATAAAGCTCTTGCATTAATTTACTATCTGGATTAAACTCTTGTATTAATTCATTATTTACATTAAGCTCTTGCATTAATTCATCATCTGCATCATTATTGTAGATATTTGCAAAAA